CTAAAATAGGAAAAAAAGTGATAACCATAATACCTTCTAAAATAGGAAAAAATATAGCGCACCAAAAAGTTGAACGCTACCATCCCTCCACATTTCATGTGATCGTACTGGTATATTATACGCGTTGTGCACGCGTCCTTACATTATGTCTAATTTAAGAACCATCTTTGGTTACCTATCTAAAGTAAAGGCAATTAACAACTAACAACTATATCAACAACTACATAAGGTACGCACTGACCAAGTATTTATACACATATATATAATTTAAATTCTGCGTTTGTACGCTTTAACGCTTTTGATTGCTCATATACAAAATGTGAACTAAATGTGCAGTCGAATTACGTCTTTTGAGATCTATGATATGATCTTTGCATCATTAACCGCTATAATCTAATTTATTGACTGTATTGGTATTTCTCTTTGAGCCGATTCAGGAATATTAGAACCTTATGTTGCTAAATACTGATTGCTAGGTTGTTATTTGGCACTGAAATTTTATCTTCGAAGTTAAATGCAAAATAATTACTGAATACAAGGGTAAAGTTTAGGCAATGTGGATCGAATATTTGCTACCTGAATTACTGCGCAATTGTAAGTATTAATGAATTTAAATAGTTTTTTAAGTGCAAAAAACACATTAATAACATTACTATTGTGCTCACCACCTAATCCTGTTGTGCGATAATAAGTTTTTATAAAATGGAATCAACGTCGGAAATTGATTATAGTAATAAAAACTATAATGCATTCAAAGTGGGATGAAGTCGAAAGAATAAATCCAATGCATTCATTTTTAATTAAAAATCTTACGATAGTGTTTAATTGTATTCATGGCAATTGTTACCATTACGGGAAGAATAATTGACAAGAATAATTGGCATAATTGGCACATCATATATATATTATATATTTCTGAAAATTGAAAATTGGTCTTCGGGTTACGCAAAATGAAAAATCAACTTAGCGCGGTCTATACTGATTACATCTTTGTAATTATTGTTGAAAAGGAATGGGAGTTAAAGCAAATTTATATAGGGCATTCATTTTTAATCGAAGTGTGCTGTCAACAAATGCGAAATAATTGAAGGGTTTTCGATATAAAATAGCGGCAATTTGAATGTGCAATTCTATCTTAAATTCTGATATCAAATGGCGCGTAGGTACGTGTACCATATTAATACTATTGTTTAATTTCAACAGTCTGGTAATCCGATAAAACACGTACCGGATACACAGGCAGCGTGCTAATAATCTTTAATAGAAATATGATTTTCAAATTTTTATAGGATTTATAATTTAAATTTCATTAAAATTAAAAAATATGAATCTATTAACAAATAATCTTATTTTTAAAAACTTAGTAGATTTTTTCAATCACATAAATTAAAAAATAAGACAATCAATAAGAAGACTTTGAATTGTATAATTTGAGTTGGCATAATGAAATGGCCTAAATATAAAGACTATATTAAAACATTTGGTCTGATTCAGGGTACAGGTAACTTGGTGGTACTGTTTCCAGGTCGCAATCAAGAGGTCGTCGGTTCGTCTCCCATGCTGCATCTGAGAATACTACGACAAATATTTGATGCGATATTACTATGAGGAAAAATCCCTGTCGTGTGAAAGACCGGTTATCCAATTTAGGGTTTCCACTGGATTCTAATCGAGAGGAACAGTCAGGTGGTCAGACCTTGAAGATGAGTGCCTTAATGAGAAAATTTCCGGTGGAATTCT